GCTAGTCTAGTGTGGTCCTACTTCTGGCTGTCACCTTTTCAAATGCTTCCCTAGGCAAGGAATTATTAAAATAAAAATGTATACTTTGTGTTCGATCCTTTGATGAATATGCCGTGGCTTGAAATTGCTTTCTCTCTTCCAGGTTAATATTATTATAATGCAACACACTTGCGCGCTGGAGTTAAGGGTCTGTCAGCAATCCCTCCATAATCTCTCATTTGCAGAGGATTATAAAGCCATTAAAATCTGCTGTAGGTTGAATCTTGGCATATGAAAGCTTAGCCTGAAAATGGATTTTGTTCCTTCTCTGTCTACTCTAATCCCTCTCCAACTGACAGAAACACATGCGCGTGTGCTCACACACACACACACACACACACACACACACACACATGCATGCACACGTGTGCACACACACTCATAGGCTTTATTTCTTAAAGTGTTCCAGAAGGTACGAGAAGTGACATGAGCAAAGTCTGGGTGCTCAGAAGTGCCCTGTGTCTGATGTTTGCAGGGTCAGGGGGGCACTTGCAGAATCACTTGTGGTGCTGCGGACCATGGACAACTGGGAGAAGACATCCCTGGGTAGAATCACAGCCCTTACTTATGTATCCAGAACAATGCGCTTTATAAAGCACTGAACAAAGGGCTTAACAGAAAAGTCCCGTGAGACTACAGAAATCATCACTTGGCATCGCTACTGTGAAACAAGCTCGCTTCCATGGGGTTTTGTTGTTGTTGTTGTTGGGTTTTTTTTTTTTTTTTTGCCTTTTTGGGTCACACCCAGTGATGCTCAGGGGCTACTCCTGGCTCTGCACTCGGGAGTGGCAGGACAGTGGGCAGGGTGCCGGTCAAGCACCCTCCAGCCTGGTGGGCGCCAGGGGGATGCAGGGAGAAAATAACAAAATGTCTTTTTAACTTTTCACTTAAGAAGGACCTATTGTGGGCTGGAGTGACAGCACAGCGGGTAGGGCATTTGCCCTGCACGCAACCAACCTTGAATCAATTCCCAGCATCCTGAGCACTGTCAGGGGTGATTCCTGAGTGCAGAGCCAGGAGGAACCCCTGTGCATCGCTGGGTATGACCCAAAAAGGAAAAAAAAAAAGGACCAATTGATACATGATGTGACATTACTTTTTCTTGGACATCCTAGAATACTTGACCCTAATAATCTACAGGAATATTATCGTATTACATTGATGTGAAAAAAATGTAATATTCTAAGTGTAAGCTTAATTTTAAAGTTGCTTTTAAAGTAAGGGTGTCACAAAATTGATAATCGCCATTTAAAAAATGCCAATGGTGGGCTGCAGGGAAAGTAGGTGGGTAAGAAAGTAGGTGGGCACACCGGGGTCTGACCCCTGATACTACCATGGTGTGGCCTCAACACAAACCGCTGAAACACCAGTGCTATAGAAAGTGGAGGTGGTGGTATTGTGGGAATGAGTTATTTCTTTCCTTGTATTGGGAACTGTCAATGGCAAATGCAGGCAGGTGACAAAATGTCCCTACCAAGCTATGGTCTTTTCCTTCTCTCTCTCCTCTCTGATCTAGTCGCTACCTGTCACTCACTTCCTGCCCGGCTTGCGCACCCAGGGCAGCCTTTCAGGGCTTCCTCTGGAGCTCGGGGAGAGGCTGCCCACAGCACCAGAGTTCCATCTGTCGGGGCTCCTCCCTGCCCAGTGAAGCCTCCTGGCCCACAGAGCTCACCAGCCATGCACCTGGCAAGCAGGCCTCTCGTCCACTCACCCCCACTGCCCACAACACCCCAGGACACCCGTTTTTTTCTCCCTTCTCCTTCCCATGGCTTGTTCAGGGTGACTTGACACTTCACATGCAGAGAAACCATCAGAGGAAGGAAGCATCCTGCCACACTACTCGCACCAGGCTTCCCCTTCCCCACCCATGAATGAGGAGCACCGCCCCCGTTCCTGGACCCTGCTTTAAGCATCCCTGGCCCCCACGCCCCTCCCTCTCCAGCCCCCCACAGCAGCTCTGGCATCAGAAGAGTCACGTCCCTTTCATCCTGTCCGCTTCACGCTGTAGCAGAATTCCCTCAGAAAGTCCAGTATTTCATACTCCTTTTCTCCATTTCTCTTGCTGAGGCCGCATCCTACAGTTTGGTCTTTGTCCCACGATTGCAGGAAAAGACGCTCACCAATGCACGGCCAGACTAGGTGAACCGAGTGAAAACTATTTCACCTCCTACTTTCTCAGTCTTCTCACAAGGTTCCCCTGACTCCAGAGTAGTCCCTAAGGCTGGCTTGGGCCCACCTTGTTTCTCCCCCGACCCCCTCTTCCTTGGGCCGGTCTCTGCGGCAGAACACAGAACATAGGCACTGCATGCAGCCTGAGGGAAAAGCAAACTGGATCTCGGCACTACACCTGCTGAAGCAGTCCGGGGCAGAGGCGGGCGGGGGCAGTGCACAGGAGCTGTACTTCAAGTGGACTATAATGGGCTGTTATAATCACTACCCTAGGCAGCCCGACCCAATGCCCATGATCGAGACTAACTTTCTCCGTACAGCCCATGACTCCTCCCATCGCAGGCCAGCCCAGCACGCTACTGGCTGCTGCCTCCTACCCCCCAGACCTCCAGCCACTGCAGCCTCCTTCCTCTCTCCCTCCTCTCCCGCTGGAAGCCTGAGACGGCCCCAGCGCCTCTCAGCAACAACCCCCGCCTTCCCATCCTCATCACCGCCGAGACCAGGCACCATCACTTGGGTCTGTCCTGCAGCTTGTCACTTGCCCAACTGAGTCCACCAGGCACTTCTCACCATCTAGAGGTTAAAGCATAAGATGCTGCATGAAGTCTTTGGTGCCCACATGGTGGCCACTGATATCTGGACAGCAGCTGGAGCAGGCACCAAGTACAGACTCCCTGAATATGCCTTGCCGCGGGCTTCTTTCCTTTCTGTGTTTTGGGCCACACCTGGGGATGCCCAGGGCTTAACTCGGGGGCTCCTGCATGCAAAGCAGGTTCTCTCGCCCTCTGAACCTTCTCCCTGGCCCCCATGTGGCACATTTCAAGACAATACAGCACTCTGCTGCCTGACACTTTGTGGAAGTCCCTGTAGTCTGTCTTACCGGTCCATCGAAACCAAGCTTCCCTCCACATGGTCCTGTAACAGTCTTATGCTCCACAGTCCCCAAACATCCTGTATTTCCTGGTTACCATCAGGCCCCACAGTTAGGCCAATAGTGTCTTCTTACTGCCCTGAAGATTCCATAAAGGCCGGCACCGACTTGGCAGAGCCCTGGGAGACAGCAGGGATGAGCTGGCCAGGAGAAGGGTGTCATCATCTCCTCCAGCAGACCATCTCCTCAGGCCTACACTCAGTACCCCCCCCCCCCCCCCAGCCCCTGGCTGCCCTGTTCACTCTGCTCGCTGTGGCTCTTCGCACTGTCCAGGGGCTGTAGGAGGAATCCTTTTCGTTGTGCCACCAATTCCTTTCTCGGTAGTTTTATACGTGATATTACCAACTTTCCTCTCTTGACAGATGCCTCCTGCCCCACCCCCACGTGCCTGCAGCCCAAGTCCCACACTTTCGGTTTCTTGGTGCTCACAGGCCCACTTGCCCTAATGGCGTCTCACAGCTAGCTATGTCTAAGGCTGAGATCAGGAACAGTTCCTGGCGGAGATCCTTGTCCTGAGTTTTGGGTGACCCAATTGTGTGTGTGTGTGTGTGTGTGTGGTGGTGGGGGGGGTCCCAGACCTACATCTGCTCCATCCACCTGAGCAGGGGGCAGGAGTTGGTGATGAGCCCACTTCCTTGTCCAGTTCCCCACTTCTTACTCTGCTTTCCTTTTGCCTCCACAGCAATAATCTTCTTTATTCTCCACGACATCAATACTGTTACCATATTTTTGTTCCTGAATCAATTTTCTTTTTCAGATCCCCTTAAAAAGGAAGGGTTTTTCCCTCCCTTCAAAATAAAGCCCAACTTCTTGACCTAGCACTTTAGACAACCGAAAGAATGGTCCAAAGTTCTAGCTCTTCCTTTCCCTTCCCCTTCTTCCCAGGCCTTCCCTACAGCTAAGCTGCTCACTGGTCCTGCCACCTCTACTCCTTTTCTAGCTCTCGAGAGAACGACTTACTTATTGTTACCCATTTTCCAACTTCAACCGGGGCCACTACAAAGGCCCCTTCCCTAAGGCCTCCCCTCCTGGTGGCTGCTGTGCGGTGCTGGGCGCTGCGTGGCCGTGGAAGCGCGTGGACGCAGGGAACCTGGGCAAAGGTGTCCGTGGACACGGGTGTCTGCGCACACGAGTGTCTGTGGACACGGGCGTCTGTGCACACGTATGTTCGTGCACACGTTATGTCTGTGCACACGGCTGCCCATGCCAGTCTTCTGTCCGAACCGCGCTGTTTCGCCCCGAGGAACCCTGAAGCCGCAGGTCAGAGCAGCAGCTCCGAGTCAACAGCGGCTTGCGCTCTGGCTGCCTGGTCCACCCCAGCACCACAGGGACCCCAGAGCCCCTCTGGGGCTAGCCCCGCCCAGCTCCCAACGCCCAGTCCCAGGCCCGAGACCCTGCTCCGGACCCCGGATGGCCCCCCCACCCGACTCCGCCCCCGACGGCGGCCCCGCCCCCACCCCCGCTCCCCACGCTGACCCCGAACACGCCGGCATCCAGCCCGACGGCGCCCCCACCCCGACCTCCTCACGCCCACCCCGACCCGACCCCGACTGGGGTCCCCAGCCCCCGCCCCCCAGGTGCCCTCCCCCATCCTGCCCCGCCCCCGTCCGGCCGCCACCCCCAGACCCCGCCCCGACCGCGACCCCTGACCCCGACCCCGCGCCGCCCCGCCCCGCGGGAAAACGCGGCCCCGGAACCTGCGTCCGTCTGTCTGTCAGTCCGTCCGTCCCGGGGGCCGCGCGCCGGGCGTGCCCGCCGCCACTCACCGCTGCTCCCCTCCGCGCCGCCGTCCGTCCGTCCGTCCGTCCGCCCGCGGGGGTTCGGGATCTCGGAACCAGGCCCGGCCCGGCGGCGGCGCGGAAAAGCTTTGGCTGCGGCGGCCGGAAGTGACGTAGGGCGCTTCCGGTCCGGGGCTGTCACGGCCCCTCCGCCCCCTTGGTGCTGCCCACGCGTGGCGCGTGCCCACGCGTGGCGCGAGCCGCGGCCAACCGGTAAGGAGCGTCCGGTAGAGTCGGTGCCCGGGGCAGCGCGTGCGCCGGCACCCGCCACTCCGGATCCCCCCGGGGCGCGTCGGGACTCCCGATCCCTGCATCCCACCGGGGCTCTGGGACTCCCGACCCCCGGATCCCCCCGGATCCCCCCGGGGCGCGTCGGGACTCCCGATCCCCGGATCCCCCCGGGGCTCCGGGACTCCCGACCCCCGGATCCCCCCGGGGCGCGTCGGGACTCCCGATTCCCGGATCCCCCCGGGGCTCCGGGGCTCCCGACCCCCGATCCCCCCCGGGGCGCCGGGACCCCGGATCCCCCTGGGGCGCGTTGGGACCCCCGATCCCCGAATCCCCCGGGGCGCGTCAGGACCCCCGACCCCCGGATGCCCCCGGAGTGCGCCCGTACCCCCGGCCTGCAAGCCGCACGCGGGGTGGGCTAGGGGGTCTCACACGGACGTCGCCCGGACGGTGGTCCCGGCACCCGCGTCCAGCCGGAGCAGGTGCATCAAAAGAGCCCCCACCCCCACCCCGAGAAAGCGCAGGTGCGGGGCAGGTGGGCGCGGCCGCGCAGGATGCAGGGGAGAGGATTCTGGGGTGCGGAATCTGGGCTCTGGGCTCTGGGCTCTGGGTCTGGGTCTGAGTCTGGGGTCTGGGTCCGGGGTCTGGGGTCAGGGGTCTGGGGTCTGGATTTGGAGTTTGGGGTCTGGATTTGGAGTTTGGGGTCTGGGTCTGGGTCCGGGGTCTGGGTCTGGGGTCTGACCCTGCGGGCGCGGCCGGGAGGTCCCACCACACCTGAAGGAAACTGGACCTGAGAGTGTGGTGAGACTTGGGGGTCGTTCGGGCCTTTGCATCCCCCTGTGCTCACTCACTGTCCCAGACAAAGACGCAGGGCTGGGCTTCCTGTGGCCGGGGAGAGTTTAGTTAAGGTTTGTGGGTTTTTTACCTCCCAGTCCCGGGTTGTAAGCCTGTTTACTTTGTAGCTTTTTCATTGGGATTGAATGGAAAGTGGATACAGTAGCCTGCGGCCTTTCCCACGGCAACTGTATAGCAGATCTTGGGGTTTGAGGTCTCAGGCCCAGCAACTGAGTCGGCGCGCAGCCCTAGGTTATGTATCTGATCTCCTGGAGTCAAAGCGGCCCGCGGTCGGATTAGACCTTGGGCTGTGAGGATTTGCACTACACTGTATGGAGGGCAGAAGTCAGGTTCTGTGTTCTGAGGTTCAGTTTGATTTCCAGCCTATGTGGCTAGCACACATCTCTCGTGTTGTGGTCCAGTAAGGCCCGGGTCAGGCGGGACTGCATGACCAGCGGATCCCAGATGCTCCCTCCTTCCGGGAGAGTTGAGGGCGCTGTCAGCTCTATCTACCTTTCACTGTTTCACGTCTCCCCTTATCGGGCAGCTAGTTTTAACCATCACGTTTTGACCTTTAAGGACTTCATTACATGCATCCTCACATCACAGAATAAGCATCGAAGCAACGCGAAACTTGAGCTTTGGGGTGTTGCTGCTCAAAGTTTACTCAGTTATTGTGGTCACTCCTGGTGATGCTGGGGGACCAAACGCAAGGATCCAGCAGGTGTAAGACAAAACCAGGCAAGCATCTCAACCCATTAACTGCCTCTGCAGAAGCGGTTTCATTTATTTCCTTTCTTTGACACTGCTGTTGTGATGGCGAGGGTTGCACACCGACCTGTATGTGGGGGAGGGTGCAGTGGGTAAGGGCTCACCCATACGCGGGCAACCCAGCCTTAATCTTTGGTGCCCTGTTTGTTCCCCCGAGCCTGCCAGGAATAAGCCCTGAGTGGACTGTAGCCCCTGAACAGACAAATAATAAAACGTAAAAGTTCGATTACTCCCATGCAATTTTAGAGTAAATGATAAATATTTAAGGGCTTAATATGGAATACATTATTTGGTTTTCACAATACTATGATAGAATCTGTTACTGTCCAACATGTTACATATGAAGAAAACAAGACAAAAATATATTGCTGCTAACTCTGAGTCATTTGAATCCCGTTAGTTGGCTGCTAAGTTTTGGCCCTCCTGCATAACTTCTGCAATTCTTGGTATACAAATATTTTTGCTCAGTATGTGGAATCTACACGAAGCAATATCTCTGCTTTCCTTTATAAGTTTGGAGGGATCTTAGTTAATTCTTTTCTGGTGGTGAGCTTGTTTTTATTTTAAATTATACTTAGTTGGCTCATATACTGGAGTTATTCACTGGAAGCCCTCTCTGGTGCTGTGATTCCTGAGATCACTGAGTGGTTTCTGGGCTCTCATTCCTATACTCTGTCCCTCCTTGGACTAGAACAGTGAGTCCTGTTGACTACTGGAGAGCAAGTGTCAGGTGGGGGCGGGAAGGGAAAGGGAGGGAAGGGAGTCACAGCGGTGCTTGCAAACCTGGTGGTCGCAGGCCCAGGGCAATGGAAGAGCAAGTGGCCCAAACCCCTTGGGGAAGAGCATGGGAGAGGGATAGGGAGAGCGTTTTTTTTTTTTTCCAAATAGGGGAGGTTGTTTTTTTCCTATTTTTTTTTTTTGGGGGGGGGGGAAGCAATACCCAGCAATGCTCCTGGCTCTGCACTCAGGAATTACTCTTGGAAGTGCTTGGGGGACCATACAGGATGCCCAGGATAGAACCTAGGTCAGCCACGTGAAAGACAACCAGCCGCCCTACCTGCTGCAGTATCACTCTGGTCCCAACAAACAAAGTTTTTTTTTTTTTTAATTGGTGAATCAACATAAGGTACAGTTACAGACTTACAAACTTTTGTCCTTGTTTTTCAGTCATACATTGATCGGGCACCCATCCCTCCACCAGTGCCCATTTTCCACCATCAATGGCCCCAGCATCCCTCCCACCACCCCCACTGCCTCTGTGGCAGGGCATTCCCTTTTGCTCTCTCTCTCCCCTTTTGGGTGTTGTGGTTTGCAGTAGAGATATTAAGTGGCTCTCATTCGATCTATAGTCTACTTTCAGTCCACATCTCCTATCCCAAGCGGGCCCTCCTAGCACCCTTTATTTGGTGGTTCCTTCGAAACAGAGAAAGTTTTAAGCAGGAGTGTTCTTGGCATCTTCCAAGGAATGAGCAAAGGGCCAGTACGGGTGTGAGTACCACATCAGAAAAGGATTGCCACTCGGAGCTGAAGCAATAGCACAGCGGGTAGGGCATTTGCCTTGCACGTGGCTGACCCGGGTTCGATCCCTGGCATCCCATATGGTCCCCCAAGCACTGTCAGGAGTAACTCCTGAGTGTAGAGCCAGAAGTGACCTCTGAGAATCTCTGGGTGTGACCCAAAAGGGAAAAAAAATGAAAAGGATTACCAGGGAGCTGGAGCGATAGCACAGTGAGTAGGGTGTTTCCCTTGCACGCAGCTGACCCAGGTTCGATTCCTAGCATCCCATATGGTCCCCTGAGCACTTCCAGGAGTAATTTCTGAGTGCAGAGCCAGGAGTAACCCCTGTGCATTGCCTCGTGTGACCCAAAAAGCAAAAAAAAAAAAAAAAAAAAAAAAGAAAAAAGAGAAAAGAAAAGATTGTCAGGGTGTTTTATTTTGAGTGTGAATGAATGTGGATTTTGAGTAGGGAACACCCACAAATTTTCTGTTTGCTTTCATTTGTTGTGGGTACACCCAAAAGTGCTCAAGTCTTGCTCCTGGCTCTGTGCTCAGTGACTACCCTTGGTGGGGCTCGGGGGCCCCTTTGAGATGCTGTGGATCCAACCTGGGTTGGCCATGTGCAAGGCAAGCACAGTGACCACTGTACTGTCTGGCCCCTGGTTTTGTTTTTAGGGGCTTAGCCTGTTTTCAGAGAAAGAACTTTAGTGTGGAAGTTCCAGAAAAATAATTAATAGACTTTTGTGATATTTGTAACATCTGGTGAGGTTATAGATAAGAGAGTGGTAGAGATTCTACCACTACCAATGACTAGTCATTGGGAGTTTTTTGAGGAGTTGTTTCAGTTTAATTCAGTGTATAATGAGTCACATTCTTGAGTTTATTTCTAGTTGTGTAGCATAATTAAAAAGTGAAAAGTCAGTAATCAGAGGAATGAATATAGATTGTGAGCTAGGCAAAGTGTCCAGCCAACCATGGTCGTTAAGAGGCTCAACGAGGATCCAGGAAGAGAATCATGAATAAACTAGCAAAGAACCATCATTCCCCCCACCCAAAAAAAAATCAAGAAAACAATCCATTGCTTGCTGAGTTGTCCAGTAATGAATGACCTGCCTCTTGAATGGTCACTTTAATCAACGGCTGCTGAGATGAGAACATTCACTTAGAATAATAATTTTAAAAATAATTAAAAATAATTTCTGATTATTTTCTTTTGGGGAAAATTGATGCAATAAAATTGCATCATGCTTCATTTTATGAAATTCTAAGTTTATACATTTTTTTTTAGGAAATGTAAAATGTCTTTTCCTATATGTTTTATAGTAAGATCCTTTTATAGGTTGAATTAACACTTTTGGATTGATTAACATTTTAAAACATGTACAGTTCTCAACCCTGATGTAACTAATATCTACATTTAAAATGAATTGAGTATAGAAATAATAAATGTACTTAGAAATATGCATATTGGGGCTGGAGTGATAGTTTAGTGGGTTGGGCGTTTGCTTTGCACATGGCCGACCTAGGTTTGATTCCTGGCACCTGTATGGTTCCTTGAGCTTGTCAGGGTTCTGAGCATAGAACCAGAGGTAAACTACGAGATGTGACCACCAACTTCTCGAAGAGGTTATATTTATTTAGAATTGCATTCTTTGAAGCTTGTTAAGCTATCAGTTCTACACATGTTGATAATTTCTTATTTGATCAAAAGCAATTAAAAGGTTTGATATTGTTACATCTGTAACTTTTCAGTTTCTATTATGTAACATGTAACTTAGCTGTTTATCTTCAAAGTAGTATTTAGTGCAGAGATCTAGACTTGAAGTTTGAGTATAAACTTGCCACCTTTTTTTATCTTCTTCAGAAGTATTTTTTTCTTTTTT